TATTTGTTAAAAGTGAGCGTTTTGTTAGAAACATTCAATTCAATAGCAATTCATGCGTTAAAATTGCCTAATACATTTTCTAGACAAATGTAGATTTAATAATAAAATACTTAACATTAATAGGCTACAGGTATTACTATTAATATTATTACATAACTCACGGGAACTGGATCTCGATTAAGTTGTCGCCCAATGAGCGCATCGGTGCTTATGTTAGCTTTTATTAAATAAATAGCATTTAACATATAAGCACTTATTTTTATTACCTACATCCTTTTCTTATTGAAACATTTTTATTCAATAATAACTTTCAACACAGAATTCGGAATTGAATTTCAGTGCAATAAAGAATATTCTGAAGCAATAATTGCTTATAAATATGAGCCAAGAATTACATATAAAACCAATTTAATCATTTCACAAGCATTGTACACCAAAATACTGATACAACTGTCCACACAGCCATAAATACTAACAAATGCTATTTTATTACAACACAGGAATTACCGCCAACTCTGTTGTTCAACAATCCGGACCCATCGTACGTGTGTCCGACCCCTTGATTACCGCCACAAATGCCACACAAATTAACAAAATATCATATTTATCGAGCTCATTTCACATGATAGGGCACGTCGTCTATACGGGAACCTCCTATTCGTGAAGCCATACCCGCACGCGACCCCATATATGGTGGGAATGTTGACCGGATACCTGCTAAACAAATACTCGCACATAAAACTGCCAAAACGACTGGTGCTCGCCGGTTGGCTCGTGTCGATCTCAATCGTATTGCTCGAGGTGTTCAGCACCTGGACCTGGAACAGTCAGGACCAGTCGCCTAATGCCATAGTGGCCGCCCTATTCGCAGGCACATTCAGGCTGTTCTGGGCCCTGGCTATGGCCTGGATTGTCATCGCCTGTCATAACGGCTTCGGAGGTGATTATCAATTGACTTTTGGTTTGGTTTTTTATATCGCAATAGTTTTTAATTTACTTTACTCACTTATCTAATTTATAGCTTTCAAATATATTTTACCTAGTTATATTATTTATTTTTAATTATTAGTAATTTAATTTGACAGATGTCCAAGATTATTATATAAATATTTATTTAATGATAATAATAATTTATTTCAAATTAATATCGTAGTACTGAACTATGTAATATATAATAATTAATACTTAATATAATACTTAATAATTAATTTAAATAGCTTACAGAATATATTAATTTGAATTTATTATGATATTTTTGTTAAAAATATTTATTTTAAATTTATTTTTAGTGTAACTAGGCAACTATTTGGTTGAATAATTTTTGCTAAACTAATTTATAATTTTAAATTCTTATTTTTTATTACTTTTGGTTCAATTATTTGACTTTTATTTGAGAGCATTTTCAAAACAAACATATTATTGCAGAATATATGCTTCTGGCGATCAAAAAGGGTTTATAATATCGATTAGTTTGAAGTTGTTTTAGGCATAAGTTTTTAATCAAATATTACACTTTATTTACACTTTTGTACAATTTATTTTCGGCTTATTATTTAGTAACTTATGTAACAAATTAAATATTCCTATAACTATTAATTATATTTTCTAAAACTAATATATTATATAAATAATACAATTTGTGTTTTGAACACTTTTATATAATTTGTCATTTAATTGATTAGAAAATTATTAAAATCTCTCTCTCTCTCTCTCTCTCTCTCTCTCTCTAAAATATTGATATACCATAAATAATATTCATTGATATAATTATAAACTATTAATTACTTTCTCGAAATTATTATTGAAAACGATCTACAATTGCATTCATAGGAAACATCAATTCATTTCTAAGCTCATCAGTGTTCATACCATTGAGCCGACTCTCATATGTCGCTTATGTAAGTCATTATATAATATAACAAATACTATAATAATTGATTTTAAATTATAATTCAGTTGCCAAAGTATAATTGATATGCATTTGCCATACGCTCGCGTTTTAATTATAGCCATACTTTATTGACTCCAATTTCATAATTTACATACGAAACTAATAATTTATATATTTTTAATATATAATTTAGTGTATAATTTAAGTCAATTACAGCATAGTATGCCTTAATTCAGAGGATTATTCACTACGGCTATAATCAATCAGAAAATAGTTTACTGTATCTTAAACTTTTATATTGAAATATGTTTTAACCCCAAAAGTTTAAACAAAAGTTTTACATACAATAGGGTAGTGAATAATATACTGTTGACAATAGTTTGAGATAATTATTAACAATAGAGGTATTAGTGCTTTGAGTTTTAGATAAAACAGAAATACGTTTTTTTATTAATAAAAAATGTTAATTAAGTCAACGTTTAGACGGACTTTAAGGGATTCATATAAAACTAAAACACACACATTTGTCTATATTTATAAATTTTGTGTAATTAGAAATGTTTTATAAAATACTTATAAGTTATACAGCATATTGAACCTTATATAATATAATTTTTATTTTTCCTATGAGTTTATATAAAGTGTTATTCTTAATGACATTTATAGAAACTAATAATTTATATATTTTTAATATATAATTTAGTGTATAATTTAAGTCAATTACAGCATAGTATGCCTTAATTCAGAGGATTATTCACTACGGCTATAATCAATCAGAAAATAGTTTACTGTGTCTTAAACTTTTATATTGAAATATGTTTTAACCCCAAAAGTTTAAATAAAAGTTTTGCATACAATAGGGTATTGAATAATATACTGTTGACAATAGTCTGAGATAATTATTAACAATAGAGGTATTAGTGCTTTGAGTTTTAGATAAAACAGAAATACGTTTTTTATTAATAAAAAAATGTTAATTAAGTCAACGTTTAGACGGACTTTAAGGGATTCATATAAAACTAAAACACACACATTTGTCTATATTTCTAAATTTTGTGTAATTAGAAATGTTTTATAAAATACTTATAAGTTATACAGCATATTGAACCTTATATAATATAATTTTTATTTTTCCTATGAGTTTATATAAAGTGTTATTCTTAATGACATTTATACCGCTTCAGGGCATTAGAAACAGTGATATATTTTGCAAAAATAATTAATTTTCTCACATTAATTAGCATAGAAGCCTATGGTTAGGAATAATATTATTTATTTATTTAGATTTCATTCACATAATGAGGATTTAAGCAAATACTAGTATATTTTTTGCACACTTGTCACATACATTCAGAAAATTATTTTTTACATCATTTTAATCAACACTTTGAGTACAAATATTATTAATAATAACACTAATTATCTATAAACAGCTTATTTATGTCATTATCGGTACGAGTAGTGAAATGCCGTCAAATTATGCTAACTATACGTAAAACTGACGCCAAAATTGTTTGTTAAGTGAAGAATCAGATACACAAATATTTACCCCCAGAAAACTACTTGTGTTTTTTTGTTTGTTAAATACACTTATTATGAACTAACCATTGAATGGCATTATATTATTCAAACAGTTAATACATCCGGGAATGATGTATGTGTTCGTCGCCAGCACTCGCAATATATTTGCGTTCAGCCATTACTTTGTGGTAAATATTATTACATATTATCACAGAATATTCTGTATTTAAAATATGTTTTTGCTTAGTTATAACTCTCTTTAAAAAGTGTTTAGAGCTCTCTCTCTCTCTCTCTCTCTCTCTCTCTCTCTCTCTCCATCTCTCTCTCTAATCTCTCTCTCTCTCCATCTCTCTCTCTCTCTCTCCATCTCTCTCTCTCTCTCCATCTCTCTCTCTCCCTCTCTCTCCCGCACATATGACACTCACTCTCATCTCTCATAACCACAGATACAGCTATTCTTCTCGCACTTAACGACAACATTCATCGTCTCCTACATCTTCTCACTGGTCATCGAATACCCGTTCCTATCGCTGGAGCGGGTGCTCCAGAACGGGCTCATGAGTGGCACCCATAGCCGCAAAACCAAATTATATTCAGTGACGAGCGTCGACTCGACGGCCAGCGATGTCCCCATCAATGGCGACGACCAGATGGACGCCACCGAAAAGTACAATACGTTGCGCCCGTTCGCGCCGTTACCCCAAGAGTTTAGCTTCACGTACGCCACTAAAGTGGACACCATTTGCAAACCAAACAACTTTGTTATCAATTATAAGCTATGATCCGATCATTGGTTTTATAGTTAATGTGTTTTGACTCACGAATTAAATGACTATTTTTAATACCCATTGAAAGTTACCGTTTAATTATCGGTATAATTATAGTACAATAGTATTGTGAATACCTCTGACACATACGCTAGATGAGCCGGATGTAATTGAAATTAAATGCCAAATATTTAAAACGAAACTATGTTTTAATTAATTTTATTAAAAAATATTTATGCTTAATTCTGTTGTCGGATATAATCTGTTTATTTAAGTTACAGATTAAAATCATAACTAAATCTAAAACATTGTTTAACGTTAAAAAAACATATTCTCTGTATATAAGAAATTCTTTAATTTAATTCTTGAACACTAAAAAACTGTTTCAAAACCCACTCACAAAATCTTACGCCTGAATAATAAGCTATCAAATAATAATAATACCCTAGACTTCATGAATGCCTACAGATTTTAATTTTCGGAAAAAAATGTTTTAAATAAATAAAATTCTTTAATGCAATACGTGTTACAGTATAACCACTTATACAAAGATTACATATAATGGAAAAATTCTGTATTTATACCAAGCTCCTATACTTTACAAAAAAATTCTTTGTGTGCATTGAGGTACAGTACTGTAAAAACACTACTAAAACATCGCATACACGTGCGTACAGAATATTCTGTGGTGTTTATAGCGTTTGTTACACATAGACTGTACACTATGGGTGAAAAGCGATTTAAAATTGTTATTATAATGTTTACAGCCATTAGCGAAGTTTTATTACGTATTGTGTAATATAATACTAAACGAAAGTATTAAAAGAGATTTAATATGTTGTCAGACGTTAAAAAACATAAGACTCGAGCCGTGAATACGTCGAAAGTGAATACAACACACAAAAGAAGTTTCCCTTTAATCTAATCCTCGAAACAATTTCTCTCTCAACTCAATAAACACTTTAAATCAGCACAAAGTATAGGCAAATAAAAAAATGCTTTGAGTTTCGGAGATAAATATATTCTGCGTTTTTCGCCGAGAATTGCAGATATTTTTTGAGTGATGGATGCGTTGGCCAAACAAAACACTCGTCAGTAGACTACTCACTGATAATCTCTGGGATTAATACTGTGAGCGACAAAAATGTTATTTCATTTTATGATTATTTTTTCCAGTCTATCGAGTGAAGTGTTTACCAGTTTATTATACGCGTGATCATAAGTTTTTTAATAAAAAAATATTAATTATTTTATTCACCGGGTATATCACTTTCTATAATTTGTAATATTAATAACTTATTAGGCTAATTTATACATTAGATTTAATATTTAAAAATATCCATTCAATTGTGAATATTGTTTTATAATAGTGACTTATTTGACATTTTTTATTTATTTTAAATACACCTGTACATTTCTCTATTTGAAATATAATAGGTATAGAATCGGCATAACTAATCATAATAAAATATTGTAATTATTTATGACATCGTTATGATTTCAGTAATTTATAATAATTGTTAACGTTTTCATAGTTTAAAGGTTAATGAATTTTGACAAAATTAAAAATTACTTAAATAACAATGTTTATACAATTCATTCGCTATCTCTAACTATTCCCCAACTATTTCTACATCAATATAATAAAAAACTAATGTCTCAATAGTGTACACAAATGCCCACACATTTGTGTACATTTGCGTGCGATTATACTCGCGATATAACGCACAGAATATTCTGTGCATACACTACAAGTCGGCCCTAAAACTGAAGGAATCTCTTGACTTTCGTGTGTATATACATATGTGGACACAAAACGTGTAGACAAACACAAGAATCCAATCCTAAATCCAAAACCTAAACCCAAAAAAACGACGGCCCAATCGATGGCATATCTATGGTTACGCCGATGAACGCGTAAATGAGTGCCACAAACATGCGCTCCGGCGCGTTAGGGGAACGGGAGGTTTCGCAGTATACGAGAAATCTTAGCCATACATAAGATGGGAAACGGTGGCGAGAATGCGTTCAGCATTTCGCTATGGACACAGTTTTTTGAAACTCACACTCGCATTGAAATCGAGAAATTTTGTTTGTTTTGTAAATATATTTCACGCGATATAACAAAAATAACACCAGTCACATTTATTGATAAATTTGTTTGTTACATGGGAATAAATTCGCGATATGGATGGTATGTATAAGAATATTCTGTGTGTAACTACTTATTGAAAGTAAAATAGTATTTATATATATTAGAGTAGCATATTATTTTTGAATTGACATGTAATTAGATTAAATAACATAGATTACTTTTAGTTTTCTATTAGCGTATGAATATAATCGTGAATTTTTTTCGTAATCGCTTTTATCGCGAATGCTTTCATCGGAATAGTATTCATACATAATTAAAATGATTACTTAAAGCTATATAAAGAAATTTATATTTATTTTCTCATTCATTACTTTTATAAAAGTTATTTTAGGTATAAATTTTATATATTAATAGAAATAATACTAAACAACTTATTAGTACGAATATTATACTAGTAAAATTCATGTAATTTGTTGTTTCGCTATAATTATAGTGAAATTGAAATCCAAAATGAATTTAAAAATTTAATTTACTTTTTGTAATTAGCCTGTAGACATGTGAATATATTTCTATATTTACATAATTAAATTAATGATTTATTCCAAATATGTTATCTAATAATAATAAGACAAAAGTGAAATAATTATGTGTATGAAAAACAATTGCTAATGATTTCAACTATAGCTAATTATAAGGCACTTAATTTTAATAAGAATTCAAAATACAAAATAAAATCTCTTTTTCAAAAGTCAAGAATATATTGCATGTGATGTTATGTCCGATTGAATAGTATATCCAAGAATTTACATGTTATTTATAGCACTAATTCATTAATATGTTAATATATTAACGCGTTTTATAATATATATTGAAAGCTATTATTGATAACAGTGTGTCGAGAGTTGGTGTTAACGTTAAGAGCATGCAATTAATTGGCTTTAAATTCATTATTTATATATTACGTAGACTTTAATACACGACTGTAAACCTATTTAGCGATAATCACAAATCGATTTGCTTTTAGTAACATATATTTGCATCTAAACTTTTGTTTTGTTTTGTTTTTGTTTGAATACATTATCATAGGCTTACTGACAATAAATACAAACATCACTATTAATAACACATAAATGCTTCTACAGTATTATTATTCACTTAAGTCGCGAGACAATAATCTTAACGTGAAATATAATATTATAATCTAAGTTACCAATGCATTGATTATTTATTGTACTGGCAAACATAGTTATATAACAATTTGGAAAACAAAAAGTGAATTGATTTAATGTGCTAAACTAAATAGTACTGTATTTAGTCATAAGTATTTAATTGATTTTTTATTTCCACGAATAAAGAGTTTGTTTTTTGTGGTAAAAGACATTAATTTTTTAACTTTCTTTTTATTTTAATTGTTTTTCTACAGAATCCGAAGCAAACGATTCGTTGAATGAATAATACATTTCAAGAATTTATTTCCAAATAAACATAACATACAAAAGAAAACAAAAAAACATTTATTAAAAATGAAAACAAAACCTAAATTCTGTATTCAGACGGCGAATATAATATTTGTTATAAATTAGTTTCGCGCTTAGTTTGTAATGTTTTGTAGCTATTTCTTAGAAATATTTAATGAATCAATGAATTAGTGCCTCAAAAACAACAATAAAAAACAGACATAATATACATATATTGGAAACCAATTTAAACCACACATTTAAATTAGTTTTTATTTGTCGCTTCAATTGTGCTGTAAATTACAACTAATAAGACCAAAAAAATACATATTTCTATATAATATATATATAGTTACATAAATGTATACGAATAGTGAATACGAAAAGATCGCCGTAATCGTCATACTGTCCGGATGTGGGCTGGCTATAGCCCTGGCATTTGCTGTACTTATTTGCTGTCAATTATTAATAAAGGTATGAACCGCTATAAATCATATATATATTTATTTTTATCTTTTTTTGTCAACACTTATGAATAGAGGGTTTTTATGAGTTATAGATTTTGATAAGTAAACGAAAAATACATTATTTATCATATGATGCTCGAGAATATTTTCAATATAAACATACTTTTCTATTATGAAATATACTGTAGATTTCAATTTAAATATACTATAAATATATTTTTTAAAAATTAATATAGGCTTACATCAGATTATATATTTCGCAGAATTTTTTTGTCAATATTTTTATATACAATTTAATATTTATTTTAATACTCAATACAAGAGAAAAAAGATTTACATTTTTTAAATAAATATTTTCCAAAAAAAAGTTTTTAATTTAATATATACTGTATATAATATTTAAATATTTATATTTTTGTCTATCAATTTAATTAAACCAAAAATTAATGTTATATTTAAACAACCGTTTAAATCACATAATATGTCCACTACGGGACGGGTAGCCCAAGTACTCGCGATACGGGTGTCCCAACTCTATAGTGGTGTTCGAGAGACAGACGACCACTTCGGACGAGAATAATATCGATTACAACAGCGGCTGCTTTGAGGACTCGTTCTATCAAAGGGAAGCCCAATGTGATAGCGATACTAACGCCGACACCGGCACCGTTAGCTCGCCCAACACTGTCATCGCCGCACAAACACATCATACATACGCCACGCATACGCCGCCATCGCCTCAGACACCGCCACAAAGGTCTTCCTCACCGCAAGTCAAGTCAGTTATAGACTCTCTCTCTCTCTCTCTCTCTCTCTCTCTCTCTCTCTATCTATCTATCTATCTATCTCTCTACACGTAATTCATTCATTCAATTAGTTTTTGATTTATTTCGTTAAGTCTCTGTTTAAGAGATTATGATTTCTATCTCGAAATACACTCAACATTCAGTTATAGTGACTATAAGCTTGTGATAAACTACTTTTCAATACATTATATGAAAACTATTACAGAATTAATAATCAAATTATTAGGAATATAAAAAATTTCATAATTCAAAATATATTTATGATAATTACAGCTAAATAATTAAGTTTTCGCTATAATGTGGGCCTAAACTGCAATACTATATAATATAATTTTGTTTCCTTTTTATTTTATTACAAGTAATTCTTTAGAGACTTTTTTAGTGCACAGAATATAATAATATTATATAAGTTAGTAAGAGAGCAAAAAAGTCTATAAACTAATTGCAAAAGTTGTCACAATTTTTTCCCTATTATTCTGATTGATAAATATATTGAGGAAATGGGAATTAAATGGTAGAAACCTATTGTTGTTTAGTTCACAATTCAATTATATATATATAGGAAAATGTATAAATGCTATTAAAATCACCAATACTTTCGATGATTACTTTTTGATCGATTTTTATGACAATAGTGTGTAAAATAAGATTTCCTTTGCCTCACAAATAGATTAAAAAGTCTTTGAAAACTAGTAGTTTTTAAAAACCAGAGTTTACATTCAATTTGTTGCCTATAGATTCGCTCCCCGGCCACCACTGGTCAAGAATCGCAAGACATCCCTGCCCTGTAAACTCGTTTCTATACAAACCACTAGCAAAACGGTTAGTATTTTGATATATTTTCTATAAATACTAAAAATCAATTTAAAAATCAATTTTAAACACATTTAAAAAATTGTAATTTATTTTTGAATTCACAAATATATGCCATAATATGTCATTTGTATTGAAAAATATGTTTCAGGAAAACACGTCGACCGACAGCGAGGGTCAGAGGAGGGCTTCGGCCGGTATTATACGCCAAAAGAGTTTCGAAGACATCGAAGAAGACATCACTTATAATAATCAAATGGGTATTCATATCATGTCTATTCATAGCATACTTACAAACATAACAAAAATCAATACAAATTCAAACTTATTTAACAAATAATTTGTTTGAAAAATCTATTCATTAAACAAAACATAGAGTTATCCGAAAGGAGACGAAGAAACTCATTGGAAAACAAGACGATATCGACGGATGTGTTGCGGAAACAGTACCGCGAGTTATGGCAACTGAGGGCCACCTTCGAGGCCGAGGAGTTGGACACATCGGACGGGTCGGCGGGTGCCGGCGATCGCACGCCACCACCCAATCAGCAACAAAAGCTCATCAAAAACGACTCCGGTATTCATATTAGTCCATACGATGCCATTACGAGCGCCTGTGCTGTCGATTCTGGTATCAATTCTGTGGCTAATCTAACGCTTTATTCTTTGTGTGCTATTCTGTGTCTCAACGCATAGGCTATAAATCCATTGAACGCCGCGACTACTCGATAGACATTAAAAGCGATTACATGTTCAGACAGTTCACGACCACCAGCGCCACCACTATAGCGCCGGTCGCATACCCCGCGCCACCCACTCGCCATCAGATCACTCATCAGCAAAGCATTAAAGAGGAACAGGAGTCTGATATACAGGCGACGTTTGTCTGACATTTGACATCTAAAGTGCTATAATGTCTTCACGACTACACAATAGTAGAGGCAATCTCTGGAGAGACCTTAAGACTTGACTTTTCGATGAATGCTTTCGTGAATTAACATTCATTTCATCTGATTTTTGTTTTTGTTTCTCATTTATTTTACTTTTCGTTTTACATAAACTGTTTTTTAATAAAAAAAACTTATTGTACTGTATATAAAAAATATATTATATAAATATATATTATTATAAGACATTATAAATATAATACAATTTGATAAGTAAAGTAAATATCAAATGACTTCCCATAAGTGCTTTCCAATCAACTCATCCTAATATATAGATACAGAATATACACAGAATAATAATAATAATAATTTATTTGACTTTTTCTATAATAATAACACGAATTGTATATTATTTTTGTCGACAACCGGTGATAGCATTACACGAGTAATATGTTGTAAATACTAATAAATATAGTAACTGTTACATAAATTGTAAACAAAAAACGTGGGACCCATTATTATATTAATTAATAATGAAATAAAATATGGTTACAACTGATAAATAAATGTTTTTTATTCATTTCAATTCTGATATTACTGTACTAATTATTTATTTAAGTGCTGGCTATAATATATTTTAATAATACAGTTATTTTGTTTGAAAAAGCTTTGATTTAAAATATAAATTAATTTAATTTCAAACTCGTTAATCTCATTGTAGTGATGATTAGTAAGGTACTTAACTTAATTGACTTTTTATAAATACGGTCTAGTTAATAGACCATTTATAAAATAATTATTTCTTATTGTTTTTTAATTATTTTAAATGTCTATGTAATTATTGAAATTAAATTCAATAAAAAATATTTATTTTTACTAATATACTGATAACTTATCAGTGATAAGTTTCTCACACTTTATACTTTTCGCAAAATATCTATTAGTCTAACAACTAATTATAAAAAAAATATAAGAAATTAGTTTAGTTTATAAACACAACTATACTAGTATTACATTGTACAGCATTAAACTTCACTATAAATCCAATCAGTATTTATCAGAGAAAATGTTTTTTCAAATATAAATTTTTATATTAAATTCTATATTGCTATCAATTTATGTACAAATGAATGACCAAAGTAGCTCTCAATATACGGTATACTGTATTGTCAATCACTGGGAGGTATACCGTATAATACAGTACCTCTTATTAAATTTAGTTAGATATACACTATATTCCACGAATTTTGTGCTCCAGAAGCTTATTATTACTGGTAAAACATCACTGAGCTCCTAATTTGCTTAACAATCTGTATATTTCTACTGAAACTAGCTTGCTTATTTTTTATATTATTTATTTTAATAATAATTATTATTTTAATTCCATTTCCTATAAAACTCTCAGTAATTCATATAACTTATAGCATATATGACTGCAAAATAATCTGTAGATTTCTCTGGAAAATTCTATTAGCAACAACATCCCCTTCCCTCGCACCTACCAGCCCTATTGGATACTATTATGTAACATTATATTTATATTTATATCGTTTCCTAAAATAATAGTTTATTTTTGTAATATATTTGAATGAATATCCTGTGTATACATTAAGAGACAACATATTATAACAATTATACTGACAGTAGTATTATAAATATTGTTTGTCTCAATACATTATTAAAGTTAAATATAACTCTGTATTGTATTATATATAGATACCGGAGATGATAAACAAGATTACTATACAATAAGTGAATACATTTGATGTGCCATAACATCACAAACATAAACCTTTTATAAGTAAATCTATTTATATTACATTGTATTTAAAGGAGCATATATGACTGCAAAATAATCTGTAGATTTCTCTGGAAAATTCTATTAGCAACAACATCCCCTTCCCTCGCACCTACCAGCCCTATTGGATACTATTATGTAACATTATATTTATATTTATATCGCTTCCTAAAATAATAGTTTATTTTTGTAATATATTTGAATGAATATTCTGTATATACATTAAGAGACAACATATTATAACAATTATACTGACAGTAGTATTATAAATATTGTTTGTCTCAATACATTATTAAAGTTAAATATAACTCTGTATTGTATTATATAAATATATATATAGATATATATATATTATTATATATATATAGATACCGGAGATGATAAACAAGATTACTATACAATAAGTGAATACATTTGATGTGCCATAACATCACAAACATAAACCTTTTATAAGTAAATCTATTTATATTACATTGTATTTAAAGGGCACTATGTTATAATAAGCCGGGTATCAAATGTACAGCGTTGTTACTAAATAAGGAACCCATTTGAGGGGCTTGCTATTTGGACACCCTGTATTATTTATTTGAAATTCTTTCATAAACATAAACTGGAATAGTTAGATTTTTGTTTGGTATACAACAACCCAATATTTATATAA